TTAGGAAGCTGAGGCAAGAGGATCACTTTAGTCCAAGAAGGCTGCAGTGAGCTATGATCATGCCACCACTCTACTCCAGCCTGGGTGACAGAGTGAGATCCTGTCTCTAAAAAAAAAAAAAAAGTATAATTGATATGCTAGGAGAGGAGAGAAAATGGAGTCATTTGAAATGCTTAATTAAAATCAGAGAAGACAGAAAAAGAATAGAAGAAAAAAAAAGAAACAAAGACAAAAAGTAGGAAACAATTACAAGTATGGTAGATATTAATCCAACTACACCAATAATCATGTTAAAAGTGAATTGTCTAAATGTATTGATTAAAAGAGAAGACTATCAGAATAGAAGACCCAACTATATGTTGTCTGTATTTAAATCTACTTTAACTATAAAGACACAGATAAATTAAAAGTAAAGGGATGTAGAAAGATATACTATGGTAACACTAATTAAGGGAAAGTTGGAGTAGCTATGTCAATTTCAAACACAGCAGATTTCAGAACAAGGAAAAACTATTAGAGATAAATAGGAGCATGATGTAATAATAAAAGGGGTACGTTCTCCAAGAAGACATAACAATCCTAAATGTGTATGTGCCTAACAATGGACAATATTTTGGCAATTTTGTCAAAATATTATACATGAGGCAAAAACTAATAGGACTGCAAGGAAAAATAGATGAATCCACTATTCTAAGTTGGAAAGTTTAACCCTCCTCTATCAGTAATAGACATACCCAGCAGGCAGAAAATCAATAAAGATATATAGTTCAATTGCATAGCACCATCAATCAACTGGATCTAATTGACATTTATAGACTACTTCATCCAACAACAGCTGAATATACATTCTTTTCAAGCTCACATGGAACATTCAAGATAGACTGCATTCTGGGCCATGAAACACACCTTCACAAATGTGAAATAATAGATATCATACAAAGTATGTTCTCAGGCCATAATGGAATTTAATTAGGAATCAATAAAAGATTAATAATAGCTAGAAAATCCTATAGCATTTGGAGATTAAACAATACACTTCTAAATAATACTTGAGTCAAAGAAAAAGTCTCAAGATAAATTGAAAACTATTTCGAGATAAATTAAAACAAAAATATGACTTTACCAAAATTTGTGGGAAAATTGTAGCATTGAGTGCACATATTAGAAAATAAGAGGGCAGTGCTTGTAGCTCAGTGGGTAGGGCACCAGCCACATACACCCAGGTTGGCAGGTTTGAACCTGGCCAGGGCCAGCTAAAAACAATAATGACAACTGCAACAACAACAACAAAATAGCCAGGCATTTGTGGCAGGCAGTTGTAATCCCAGCTACTTGGGAAACTGAGGAAAGAGAATTGCTTAAGCCCAAGAGTTTGAAGTTGTTGTAAGTTGTGATGCCGCAGCATTCTCAACAGCTTAAAATTCTGTTTCAAAAAAAAAAAAAAAGAAAGAAAAGAAAAGAAAAGAAAGGTCTTAAATTAATCATCAAAACTTCCTCCTTAGGAAACTAGAAAAAGAAGAGAAAATTAAATCTGTAGTAAGTGGAAGAAAATATAATAAAAATTTGAGCAGAAATCAATGCAATTGTGAAAAAGCAATAGTAGAGAAAAAGCAATGAAACAAAAAGCTGGTTTTTTGGTGCCTGGGTGCAGTGGCTCATACTTGTAATTCTAGCACTCTGGGAGGAGAAGGCAGGAGGGTTGCTTGAGCTGGGGAGTTCAAGACCATCTGTGTGTCTACTAAAAATAGAAAACTTAGTGGGTGTTGTGGTGGGTGCCTATAGTCCCAGCTACTTGGGAGGCTGAGACAAGAGAATCACTTGGACCCAAGAGTTTGAAGTTGCTGTGAGCTATGATGACACCATGGCACTCCACCCAGGGCGACAGAGTAAGATGAAAGAGAGAGAGAGGGAGAGGGAGAGAGAGAGACAGAAAAGAAAGAAGAAAAGGAAGGAAGGAAAGAAGGAAGGAAGGAAGGAAGGAGGGAAGGAGTTTTTCAAAAAAGATCAACAAGACTGATAAGCCTCTAGCCAGGCTGACCAAGTAAAGAAGAGGATAAACAAAATTATTATAGATAGTAACAAGGAATTAGACAAGGAATCAAAGCCTGAAAAAAACCACATGAGTTAGCTTGGAAGTGGATCTTCTTTGGCCTGCCAACAGCCAGGTAAGAGGCCTTGCAAGTGGACCTATCCCCCGTAATTAAACCTTCAAATAAGACAACAAACCAAGATGAGAGCTTAAATGCAACTTCATGACAGACCTTGAGCCACAGAAACTGTGATATAATAAATGTTTGTTTTTGTTACATTTTGGGGCAATTTACTATGCAATTACAGGTAACAACTACATACCCTTTGACCAAGAAATTCCACTTCAATGTACCAACACTCAAGTGATTTTTCCAATCACTTTCATGTTAAAGCTTATATTTAAAATGCCAATATTTGCACCAGCTCAGTAGAATAAACAGACAGTGTGTTCTTGGCCAGCGGCAACACTCCCCAGGAGCAGCAGCTCTGTAAAGCCAGTGCCATATTCCTAGAGGGCTAACAGGATCAATGGATCGGAACACCTATAACTCAGTTGAGAAGCTCTACCCTGAAGAAACTCTTCCATTAGGATTTTCATTGAATCCTCACTTATAATTGCACAAAATGGAAACAATCCAAGTCTATCAGTAGGGAAAGAGATAAATAAATTGGATAATTCATGCAACACAAGTCCATATAATAATATGTTATAGTAATATCATGTTGGGTAATAATACAATAATATTCAGTAAAAATTCAGTTAAATTCATGACCTAGATCTGTCTGTATGTATCCAAATTAATAAGTTTTCCCCAAAATAATAGTGAGTGAAAATTTATTGTGAAAGGATATATGTATTTGTTATTGTGAATTGGTTACAGATATGTGTGTGTGCGGGTGTGTGCACACACAAGCATGGACAACAAGGAAACAGATCAACTTCCAAATGGGGCTTATTTTGAGGAAAGAAGTCAGGTGAATGGGATAGTGTGAGGACTTTAACTACTTTTTTGTTTCAAAAACTGAAGGATCTGAAGATCTGGAGAAAATAAAATTTGCTCAATCTGTGCGACAGGTGCATTAGAATGTGTATTTTATACTCTACTTTTCTGTATGTTTGAAATATTTAAAAATATTTTTAATGAATATGCATCCTTTTGAGTATAAAATACATATACATTAGGCTTAGTAATGGTGGTGTTTGATTTCTCTAAATCCTCATTTATTTTGCAGTCTATTTGATTTATCCACACCACACAGGTTAAGTCTCCTACTGTAATTTCAGATTTCCTGGGCTCTCTTTATATTTCTAACAGTATTTGCTTTATATATTTTGAAACGACATTGCTTGGCACATAAATTTTTGTGACTGTCATATCTTTCTCAGTGAATAAAACAACCTGTTCTCTTTAATGCTTTTTACTTTGAGTTCTTGATTTTTATATTAATATTACTACAAGTCTTTCATTTACTTGCCTTTCATCTTTTCTTCTTTCCTTCCACTCCTTCCCTCCCTCCCTTTCTTCTGTTTTTTTTTTTTTCTGCTAATATTTTACTGGCATATATATTTCCATTCCTATTTCTGCTTTAGGTGAAACTCATATAAACAACATATAACTGGGCTTTTAAAAACAAAATGCTCAAAAAGAAGTTTGCTTTTTCCGGCTAAGGCGCCAGCCACGTACACCTAAGGTGGCGGGTTCGAATCCCCAGCCCGGACCCGCCAAACAACAATGGCGGCTGCAACCAAAAAATAGCCGGGCGTTGTGGCGGGCGCCTGTGGTCCCAGCTACTTGGGAGGCGGAGGCAGGAGACTCGCTTGAGCCCAGGAGTTGGAGGTTGCTGTGAGCTGTAATGCCACGGCACTCTACCCAGGGGGACAGCTTGAGGCTCTGTCTCAAAAAAAAAAAAAAAAAAAGAAGTTTGCTTTTTAATAGATGTTAACTCATAATACATGCTGATATATTAAGATTTATTCCTATTTGTTTTTTTACATTTTTTTTCTTGCTCTCCATCTCCATTTCTTGCCCTTTGTCACACTGAGTTTTTCTTTGTTCCGTATATTGTTACTTTAATGGTTTGAAAGTTACACATCCTATTTCTCTTCTGATACTCCCTAAAATATTCTGTTCTATTATGCATTTTATTTCCAGTAAGAACAAAAATTTGCCACTGGTATAAATATAGAAACTCTTTACATTAGCTGTAAATATTAGAACTCAATTATGAAGTGCAATTTCAAGAGTTCAGAGTTCAGTAAAATTGTATAAATCCAAAAGGGACAACTAATATTTTTTAACTGCAGTGCAATGAACCGAATGTGAACCCGTGTTATGTTCATAATCTTTTGGATAGAGAAGTTTGATTTTGATTAACAGCAACATATTCAACTATAGATAGCTGCAATTTGCTTCAACCACCAGGTTAAAAAACCTTAAGCTTACTGTAACCCATACATATATATATATATATATATATATCTTCACATTTTGACATTTCCAGTACAAACATGACATGCAGCATAGGATGTGATATAGTAATATAATTAATCTCTTTGATACTGGAAGCAATCAAAAGGAATTTTCAGATTTCATTTTGTTAGGGAAAAAACCAGAATGTGGCTAAATGTTTAACATTTGTTAAAACTGTCTGTTATATTTTTTCGCTGTCCTTTTCTGTACCCTTGACGATTTCATCATTTAAAACAGTAGTTCTCAAACCTTCCTAATGCCGTGACCCCTTAATACAGTTCCTCATGTTGTGGTGACCCCCAACCAAGTAGCAACGAAAATAATTTTATGGTTGGGGGTTACCACAACATGAGGAACTGCATTAAAGGGTCGTGGCATTAGGAAAGTTGAGAACCACTGATTTAAAATGAAATAATGCTTTCGAGCCCACCATCATTTTGTGGAGACAAGCTGCCGCCGCCGCCACATCAAGGGGGCGGAGCCGGCTGACGCCACAATCACTTCCGCCGCCGCAGTCGCCGCCCGCTGGGCTGCTGTCTGGAGGGGGAGGAGCTGGAGACCCGGGAGCAGTGGCTCTGGCGGTCGTGGCGGTCGTGGCGGTCGTGGCGGTCGTGGCGGTCGGAAGTCTACAGCTCAGCTCCTCTGAAGAGCGTGCTACTGTCTGGATTGGTGAGTAAAAGGCTGTCTCCTCGGTTCATCCAGGTGCGGGCGGTGGGGCGAGTGGCCTGGCAAGGGGGCGAGAATGAGGGGGGGGGGAATTCCCATGAACTGCTTTTCATGTTCGCCCCTGGGGAAGGGGTGGGGTGGACGCGGGACCGGACTGCAAAGTGAGGCTGGTGTTCTCCCTCTCTTTGGGAGCTGCATCGTCCGTTGTCGAGCCCTTTTCCTGTGGTGGCCTCAACTCGAGTGCCTTTAATCGCTATTTGGCAGTAGAGTCGCGGCCCTCCCATCCTCTCTGCCTCTCCTTCCTTCTCCTTCTCCCTCCTTGGCCCCTTTGCGGAGCACGCGTGGCCTTTCTTCCCTCATTTTGCTGTCGTTTTGCCAAAGGGTAAATGGTGAAGATTTTTAGGTAAAAATATTGGTCCTGGGGAAAGGATTGTTGTCAGGAAAAAAAAAAAGATTCTCGGGGTGGGGGGGCCGGGAATCTAGACCCACACATGTCCTTTTCTTTTCCCCCCTCCGCTGCCACATCGGTTTGGGTCCCATTTGAACTGATAACATTTTACCATCTCTTATTATGACATTGCGCCCTCCCACCCCTGTGTGATGTGTGCACGCACGCGCGCACACAGAAGCCTTCCATCATAGCCCCCCTGGCCCTCACTCTTCCTGGTTCCAGTGCACGCACACACCCTCACACCCTCCAGTGCCTCCCCCTGACACACATGCACACAGGGCCTTGTACCCTCCAATGCCTTCCCCTCCCCTCCCCGCCTACCACATGCACACCTCCTAGACTGGCCCCCTCCTCTTCCTTAGTCTTCCTTACACACACACACACACACACACACACACACCTCCCTCCCCCTAGGACTGACCTCCTTCTCTCTGCCTGCCACATACACACATAAGGACATCCTCTCTTTCTGGGATAGGCATACATAGGTACCCACAGTGCCGTTCACACACCCTTCTCAGTGCTCTCAGCTCCAGCTCTCTGCCGCATATGTCAGAGACAGTCCTCCTTTGCTGGTCCATGCAGTGCTTACACTCACACACTCACATCAGCCTTTCTCTGGGGACACCAGGCCCTCCCTGTTTGTCACATTCGCACATGCTGGCTTTCTTTGACTGCCCACCTCTGTTCAATCTTCCACAACAGAGGTACTTCCCTCTCCAGTACCACCCCCCGCCATTGGTGCCTGCTGCATTTGCTCTCACTGACATTTCTCCATTATTTATTGCCTACCATTTTGATTAACACACATACAAACTCTTAAACACTCCTCTCCATTGCTACCATACCTGTGACAAACACATAAACACATGCATCCCTCCATAGTTCCAGCTGCCACATGTACAACTGTAATGCACATTCCATTTCTCTTTTACTTACACCCACCCCTGTCCTCCAAAGCCACCCCACCCATGACTATCATTTTCATACCCTCATCCAGAGTGAGTCCCATTCTAACAGTTATACCCCTTCTTCTTACAAACATGGGCATGCCTCCATTGCAGTATTGCTGGTCCCCTTCCATCTGTCCCTCTCCTGACAGACACGTAGGCACTTGTGCACACACAGTGATCTATATTTTCCACTCTATTCCAATTTGTATTTCTCTTGCATGTCTGTAGGGCTCAGATAAATGCAGATACCCCCTAAAGAGCCCACAATAGTCTTTCTTTTTCCCACACTGGCACAATTCACAGTACTTCACCTATCTTCCCAGTGTGTAGTCACCCTCAGCTTCTGTCAGATTCTCCCCTACATCTGGCTTTCCTGCAAAACCAGTCTTGTAATCATTTTGCCAACGTTAAAAATGTGTTCCAGGTCCACACCTGACAGTCACTGGAATGCTACTCCAGACCTTAGAAGAAAGTGAAACTAATTTTAAAGGCCCTTTTTCTTTATGTTACCTGCCTGCTGAAGTGAAAATAAACCTCCCTTCTCCTTTATTCTGAACTGATTTGACTTTCCCATCTCAAAAGCGTGTGCAGGGAGCAGGAGCCTTTCCACCCAGGCCCCAGCTGTATTAGAAACCCTCCTAAGTCAGAGCAATGGGTCAGGAATCTAGCAAGCCTGTATGGCCCAAACCAGCAGGAGGGTATCAATCCAATACAGGCAGGAGGTATGGAAGAAGGCATGCTTATGTCAGTTTCAGGCCATCCACCAGCCAGCAGGAAAGGATTGCCAGCCAGAGAAAGACAACCTCCGAAGTCCCAATGCACAGATCAGCCCCCAGTCAAAACACCAAGAGGAGCCGCTCACCATTCTCTACCACTCGTCGTAGTTGGGACCACAGTGAAAGCTCGGGAACCAGCCTGAATGTTGATAATGAGGACTATTCCAGGTATCCACCAAGAGAGTACAGGGCCTCAGGTAGCAGAAGAGGAATGACCTATGGACATACTGACTCTTATGGGCCAGATGATAGTGAGGAGGAGGGGGCTGGGCCTGTTGAGCGACCTCCAGTGAGAGGGAAAACTGGCAAGTTTAAAGATGATAAGCTGTATGATCCAGAGAAAGGGGCAAGGTCTTTGGTTGGGGCATCTCCACAGTTCTCGAGTTTTAGCTGTGATGCGAGGGGGGAGCTTGACAAGTTAGATCCAGCCCCTGTAGCAAGATGCTCTGGTAGCAGAGCTGAGTTTCTACAGCACAATAGTGTGGCCTCACAGTCATCCTCTGCTGAAGGCAAGGTGGCTACAAATGGTGTCAGCTTGGAGAAGGAGAGATGGGAGCAGAATTTGCCTGCACATCCCAGAAGGGCTCCTGTGAGTATTTGTGGTGGTGGGGAAAACAACCCTAAGAATGCAGAGGAACCAGTGGTAAGGCCTAAAATTAGAAATCTGACAAGTCCAAACTGTGTGAAACCAAAAATATTTTTTGACACTGATGATGATGATGATATGCCACACAGTACTTCCAGGTGGAGGGATACCACCAATGCTGATGAAGGCCACTCAGATGGCCTAACAAGAAGAGGCAGAGGTGAGAGTTCAAATGGCTACTCTGAGCCCAAGTACCTTGAAGATAAGAGGGAATTGAGAAGTGACCCAGTGAAACCAGAAAAGATGCCAAGACGGCGACGCACCATGGCTGACCCTGACTTCTGGACGTACAGTGATGATTATTACAAATACTGTGATGAAGATTCTGACAGTGACAAAGAGTGGATTGCTGCTCTTCATCGTAAGTATCGAAGTCGAGAGCAAACCCTGTCCTCCAGTGGTGAAAGCTGGGAAACTCTGCCAGCGAAAGAAGAGCAGGAACCTCAGCAAGCTAGGGTGAGTGCTGATGCCAGTGTCAGTGCCAGTGCCAGCACTGGCACCAGTGCCGCTGTCAGTGCTGGTGCCAGTGCTGGCAACAATGGCAGTAATTATCTTGAAGAAGTTCATGAGCCATCTCTTCAGGGAGAGGAGCAGGCATCCCTGGAAGAAGGAGAAATTCCTTGGCTCCAGTACAATGAGAATGAGAGTAGCAGTGAGGGGGATAATGATTCTGGTCACGAGTTGATGCAGCCTGGGGTATTCATGCTTGATGGCAACAACAACCTCGAAGATGACTCCAGTGTGAGTGAAGACCTAGAAGTAGATTGGAGCCTCTTTGATGGATTTGCAGATGGGTTAGGAGTGGCTGAAGCCATTTCCTATGTGGATCCTCAGTTCCTCACTTACATGGCACTAGAAGAACGCCTGGCCCAGGCAATGGAAACTGCCCTTGCACACTTGGAGTCTCTTGCAGTGGATGTAGAGGTTGCCAATCCTCCAGCAAGCAAGGAGAGCATCAACACTCTTCCTGAAATCCTAGTCACTGAAGATCATGGTGCAGTTGGTCAGGAAATGTGCTGCCCTATCTGTTGCAGTGAATATGTGAAGGGGGAGGTAGCAACTGAGCTGCCATGTCACCACTACTTCCATAAGCCATGTGTGTCCATCTGGCTTCAGAAGTCAGGCACCTGCCCTGTGTGCCGCTGCATGTTCCCTCCCCCACTCTGAAGACCAAGGCTGTTTACTCCTGGTCTGATTATTTTCCCCATCTGAAATCCACAATACTGCAGGAGCCCTCTCAGAATTAACAATGGCAATGAAACCTATTGGCCACTTAGAATAAACCTATTGATTCCTCATGGTGATTTCCAATGTGAAAATGGTTGTATATGATTGCATTAAAAAATCATTTCAGCTTCTAGAGGTTAAAAAGAAAACTAAACTTTCTAAATGCTACTTGAGATTTCAGTAAGAACATACATTTTCTAGCCTGAAAATTGAAATAAGTTGCATTTGTTTTCTTCAGTAGAATATGTTGCTGTTAATTGTAATGTCACGTTTATCTGTTAAACATGTCCAAAAGGCAAAATCATTTTTGTTGCATGTTATGGGTTAATGTTCCTGTAATTGCAGTGCCGTAAAAGCTTATTAAAATTCTTTTGGTTTTACATGATATAATTGAATTGTTTGGTTTTGTGTGAATCAGTAGTACTAAGTGACTTTATAACTGATCCCTGTGTTTGCATCAAAAGTAGAGTTTTTTGGTGTTCCCAACAGTATAAAAACTTTAGTTTCACTGGAAATGATGACTCCCAACTCCTCCATGACTCCAAAAATTGAGGGTAATCATTTTTAAAAGTATTAATAAAGTGTATAATTGTCAAATTACTATAGGGGAAAAGGTCAAGTTAAAAGAGTAGGGAGGAAAGAAACAGTGCAAAAGCATGGTAAAAGTACAGAACAATGGTAGGAATACAATCAAACTGCATGTAGGGATGAATGAGTTAAAATCACCTTTGAGAAAATAGAAACTCTCAGAGGCAATGTGTAAAAAAGTAGTGCTACATGCCAATTTTATAGCTTAACACACTGATACAGATAGGAATAGAAAAATACATAGTATATGCCAGAAAGTGCTGCAGGAAAATAGAGGTACCCACCTATACAGAGAAACAGGTTTTAACATTTGGCCATATATGCTTCAGAGAGAGAGAGAGAGACACACACACACACACAGCCTGCCTTTCCCTCCCTCCCATCTCACCAATAAATGAAATCTTCAGGCACATGTGAAGTTCCTCACCCTGTCTTATTTTCCTTCCTTCCACAGAGGCAAGCACTAGAAAATGGTATGTTTACTTCTCATCCATGTCTTTAGAGATATATAGGAATTTACATCTGTGTATATGTAAACGTGTATGTGTGTGTATATATCCATAACCAATATACAGTGTTTTTAAAATGGACATAATTGATAGAATGCATCATTTTGCCACTTGAATTTTTTGAGATTTATATATGGATCTAGTTCATACGTTTTAACTCCTACACAGTAAGTATTCAATTGTATGAATTTCCACACTTTATTTATCCATTTTCCTCTTGGTGGACATTTAGTTTCTCCCCAACAGTTTGTGGCAGTGGGCATACTAAAAAGATGTTTCTTTGTGCACATGTGTGAATTTCTCTAGGGGTGAGTGCATGGAAGTGAAATTTCTGTGTGCTAGGATTTGAGCATCTTCACCCCAACTAGATATTTCTAGATTGATTTACAAAATGGTTGTACTCATTCATGCTTCCACCAACATTTTATGACAGCAGTTTCTTCATGCCTCCAATAGTCTGGATATTGTTCAACCTCGCTGGTAACCAGTGACATGTGAAGTAACACACTAATGAAACAGTGTCCATTAGAAAGCAATAGTTTTCTTTTTCATGATAATGTCTAATTTGGACTTAGAAGAGAAGAAATGAGAAGACTCCTGCAGTGGTGTGCATGTAAACTAGCAGCTTTTGTGGAAAGCAGTTTGGGTAGAAACTAAACCTATCGATGTGCCAAGTGGCACATGGCCCTCAACCCAAACTCAGATACTCTGGTATCCAAATTAATAGTATCCAGCAGTTAAAAATTGCATGTACTCTACTAAAAATAGAAAAACTAGCCAGGTGTTGTAATAGGCCCCTGTAATCCCATCTTCTTGGGAGGCCGAAACAGGAGGATTCCTTGAGTTCAGGAGTTTGAGATCAGCCTGAAAAGAATGAGACCTCCATGTCTACTAAAAATAGACAAATTAGCCGGGCATGGTGGCGGGCACCTGTAGTCCCAGCTACTCAGTAGGCTGAGGCAGGAGGATAGCTTGAATCCAGAAGTTTGAGGTTGCTGTGGAGTAGGCTGATGCCATGGCACTCTAGCTCTAGCCTGGGCAACAGAGGGAGACTCTGTCTTAAAAAAAAAAAAAAAGAATTGCATGTACTGATATGGAAAGGTCTCCAAGACATAATATTAATTAAAAATAGCATAGTGTAGAGTAGTTTTATGTAAAATAAAAGCCTTATAAAACCAAACTGTATATGTAAATGCATAAGAATGCCTAGAAGGCTCCATGTCTAACAGAAGGCAGGAGTTTACCTCTGGGAAGGGACAGAGGATTGGAATAAAACAATGAAGAAGGAAGCTTTTGATTTTTATCTGAAATAATGAATTTTCTTGATATTTTTTATCATATCCATGCATTTTCGTGAATATTAAAAAAATAAGTAAGAAAAAATAATTTCCTATTAGAAAAAGAGAGATACTGTCATTCTTTTCTCAGTGCATATACAGAAATGTGGATAGAAATCACAGACTTTTTTTCTGCTGCTGGTCAAGCTGATGATTGTGACTTTATTCCCCGCAAGACATTTTATGTTTCTCCTTGGCCTTTAGCCAGCTCCTCAGCTGGTAGAAACACTCAAGAGTCTGAGTCTTTGGAGGGCCTTTTTTGGGTGGGGTTGTGGTGGTTTGCAATTAACCTTTGCTGTGACCTGACTGGCACACACAGGAGGTGTTTTAGGAGCACACTGTTTGCACTGCATAGCAGTGACCCTAATTTGCCTTTTAGTTAGAGTTAGTCTATCCACAAAAGGGGACACCTACCCAGCACCTAAAGCCCCTTGCTGGTGTTGGAGAAACCTGCCACTGCAGAATCTTGGTGGACTTGAGGTGTACTTTACCAAGGAAGCCCCCAGGGCCTGAAACTGGTGCTGGTAGGACCCTGAGCAACTGGGACTTGGACCTGAAACCTCAGCTAAACCCATCAGACACTCATGTCCAGTACTTTGAGTCTGTAGGGAGGAGGTCAGAGGTGCAGGGCTCCTGAATCATTTGTCCCTGTGCTACTGTAGTGGTGATGATGGTGGTAACAATGGGGGACAGAGACAGTGGTCTAGGGCTACAGTGATGGGCCCCTACAGTGATGGGCCCCTGTAGCCATTAGAAGGATATGGCAGTGTCCATGGCCATCCCGATCCCTTGTCCCTGCCAGTTTCTGATTCTCTGACCTCTCTGACCATTCCCTGGGCTCTTCCACAGCTTTCCAGTAAAATTTTTCTGGTTAAATTAACTAGAGTTGGTTTCTGTTATTTGTAACTAAGAACCCTAAGTGACACACTTACTGATACCATAGCCCACTTTTATGCCTGTTTTCCTCATCATATAAGATATCCCATGCAGCCAAGGGTTGGGCTCACTATTGGCACCCATAACCAGGGGCTTCTAGATATGAAGCAGTTATTTCTGAGAGTAGGTTATTTGGCATATTCATCGAAAGTACCACCCACTACACTTTGCTTCTTGGTTTCTGGTCTTGTTTTCTGTCTGTGAAATAAATAGCCCCAAAGTTTGGTTACTAATTTGGAGCACAAAGCACTACATCTTGAAAGAGCTCACTCTGACTTCCTCAGGTAGTCCTCCCAGCTTGGCACTACAGTTGAGGTATCAAAAGGTCATCTGCTCTAAGACACTTCTTGTAGCCCTTTGTTCTAGTGAAATCTTTCCACATATATGCCTAGTGACCTCTGACTGAAATGTGTTTTCAAGCTCTGTCTAAATTGTACCTATGCTTTTAAAAGTTCACATGCCAGCTCCTGAAAAAAATATTCCCATGCCCCCTAGCTCCTTCCCTCCCTGTGTCTCTCATGTCTGGAAGTTCTTCAGGTCAGGAGTCATATCTAAGTCATTTCTACAGTCTTGGTAAGCAGTGGTTGGTCCCAAAACGCTCAGCAATGGTTGCAGACAGGGTAGATTCCTCTCCCAAGGTAGGCTCAGGCAGGGACTGTGTTCAAAGAAAACCCAGGAGGAGACATGGGACCCTGGCCCAACCAGGCTTATTTGACACAACCTTAAACCTGCTCCCACTCCCAGCTTCTAGAGGCCCTAGCACCCCTCTTCCACCTCTTCTGCAACCCTGGCCTACCCCTAACCTCCATATCATTTTCTGTTTTGTCCTGCTGAATCATCAGTGTTTCAGAGGCTATTATCTGACCCAAGGCCTGTGGAGAAGACAGGCATTTATCTGAAGATGGAGAAATACATGGAAACCAGCCTCAGCACTCCCCTCTTTGGCCCAGGTTGAACTTCTGACAAACACAAAGTATATAGGGTACTTGCCCACCTGGCCCTAGCCTTGGATGAGGCCTGGCATGGAACAAACTAGGTTCTGGGACCCCTGGGCCACTCTATCAGCCTGCCTTGGTGTGTTTGCATGTATAGAAAGGAGACTTTAGGCCTAGGCCCATTGCTGCAGGTTTTGCTCACCCCCTCATGCCTCCCTTCCTGTTTCTTCCCTGTAGTCCTCACATAGAAAGATTCTTCCACAAGAGCTGGGAACTAGGAGACAGTATCTGCTCATAGAGTCCAAGGTATGTGGCTAAAGGAGAGCCTGGGATCAAGCCTAAAGGACAGTAGGGACTGGGGTACCAAGTACATGAGGACAAATCTTCAGGGACCCAGAGAACCAAGTTCAAGACTCTGCTTACCATGTTTGTATTCAGGGAACACATTCCTGTCCCCTGTGTAGTCAAAGCTGGGGACTCAGAGCCAGCTAGATTAGCTCAATAAGTACTGACTGAATTACTGCCTGTGTATTTTCAGCTGGGACTGCAAGAGAGGAACAGGGCTTAGTCCTTCCCTCAGAAAGCTCATAATCTAGTGCGGAAGATAGACTTGAAAAGAGAGGAGTATGATTATGTGGGAAGTGTGTTCTGAAGGTAGACATAAGTTGACCTGGCAGCAAAGAGGCTGACTGGTCCAGTAGGGAAGGGGGACTGGCCTCAGAGGCACCAGCCAAGTAAGGGAAGGAAGGAAGCGTAGGCTGGGCCCTTTCGCTGTTGTCTTTGTCAATGGGGGTGGCAATTGGTACTACTTGTTTGAAAGGCACTTTAGAAAAATGCATTAACACTTAAAAACCAGATGCTCTGACCCAGCAATTCCACTAGTAGGAATTTATGCTTCATAAGCAAAAGCACAAGGTTATTCATACAAATATATTTATTGCTGCATTGTTTGTAGTAGCAAGAGATGGGAAAACATTTAAATGTCCATCACTAGGAGCCTGGTTAAATGATGGCACAGCCATCAGATGCTTTGTGTAATAGCTGTACCCAGCATGAGGCCAATCCACAGTTACTATTGT